AACCCACGACAAAATTTACCCGCGTGGCGTCAAGGTCACAACGTGAAGTGCATATAACCAAAGAGGACTTCCCTTTCTTATATGGAACATACATACGCCCACTGTCAGAATATGGCAGCCAAATAGCACATTCTGGCCTCATTCACGACCGCGATTCAATAGAGCTTGTGCAGCGAAGGGTCACGAAACTAGTACATGTTTTGTCAGAAATCCCTTATCCTACTCAACTACAGTAGCTAAATCTATACCCTCTAGATGTACGACGTATCAGAGGGGATCTCTTCCTTCTATATTACCTCTTCACGTCAGGCCAAGTTGACCGTTTCTTCACACGTTCTAGCCTGGAACACTTAAGGGGACACCCAAGAAAACTCTCAAACACCGGCCCAGAATCATTCATCCGCTCCAACTTCTTCACGTACAGGGTCATCTCAGAATGAAACCAACTTCCACTAGAGATTGTGAACTCCTCCTCCAAAAGGGTCTTAAACCTCTGCTAGACTCACACCTAGGGCTTATCATCCCCTGATCTAATTGGCCTCCATCTTCTCAAGGAAACCCCCACGTTATCCCGCTTATCTTTGTTACTAGTCCTCTAAAATACTCTCTCTCCTCTAGATTTTTTTCCCGATGCATGCACCCTTAACCCAGCGGCACCATATTGGGGCCAACTCCCATTTTCGTCAACATTCCTTTCAGCAGAAAAGAAGACAAATCCGGAACCGGGAATATTGGGCGCAAGCCTCGAACCCGAGTACTACTTCAAAACTTCAAGACTTCAACTTGGACATTTCCAGGATGAGGTTTTGCTTGAACTATTAGCTTTCTCTTAATGAACTCGAAAAGCGTGAACCGACACAATTCCCCACGGTGAGCTCTGTATCACACGCTTCCGTTGCACTGATCAGATCTACTTTCAGGTTTCCGCTGCCGTTGCTTAAATATCAGCCTAAGCCTAGCTAAATCTACTACCAACATTTCTGAAGATCTCAGAATATATCGTTTTTAATAGACGCAATCTCTGGTTCTGTTTCCATTTGGGACGAATATTCAAAACGGACGTGAGTAAACATTAGTGCCAGGCTCTGACGAATATCAGCATCCAATGAGTCACTAAATTGATGAGCCCGATTACAACTGTTTCGGTCCATTTTTGGCAATGATCAGATTTCGGTGATTCCGTTCCATATCTTTGGAATTCGCGAACCATTTTCTTTTTTTTAGAAAATTTCAGCGATTGTTTTTTTGGTATTTTCAATTTACCGTTACCGTTGTTTGAACTTTTCAATTTTGTTTCATAGAGTTATTTGAGGATTGCATATTTCAGATACACTTATTCATCGTTCCTATTTTCGTCATGGATTTGTTAGATTTATCTGACGAGCCCGCTCCCGTGGTGGCCGCCACATTCCAGCCCCCTCCCTTTTGGGCATCCAACCCTAGGGCGTGGTTTGCGGTTGTGGAATCGCAGTGCGCGACTAGGAACATTAAGTCTTCGAAGACTAAGTTCCATCACGTCGCTTCCTCGCTGCCTGAACACCTGGTAGCCGAGGTCTTGAACGTGGTTTTAGAGTCGCCCGAAGATGGGTCATTTAAGCTCTACGGGACGCCATATTAGAACGCACGGGTAGCTCTAACAAAGAGCGAATCCGACGCGTTCTACAGGATATACCTCTAGGCGACCGCACACCTTCGCAGCTCTATAGGCTAATGTGTAACGAAATGGGCAGTATCCCACACGACGACACCTTCGTTAGGGAACTGTGGTTACAAAAGTTACCACAGGACGTTCAATTTCTTCTTGCGCCTGCGCAAGACATGCCCATAGAACGTTTGACGGTTATGGCAGATCACGCCATGCAGTACCGTCAACCCTCAGACACCGCGGTTACCACCGGCGTCTCTCCAGTCGCACCCGTCGATACCCTCTTTCAGGCTTTTATCGAGAAACTTAGCGGTTTAAACACGAATAGAAAGTGTAGAGGCGCCCTTTTAAGTGGAAAACCGAAATCCAGTGCCGCCGTAGGTCCAAGTCGACGAACACTAGTCCGAAGTTTTGTTGGTACCACGCACGCTACGGTAAGGATGCTGCCAAATGCATCCAACCATGCTCGTGGAAAGGTCGACCTCCATGTAAAAGCCTCGAAGTGATCTCGAAACAACTTGATAACAAGAGCCCAGTGTTACCGTGAGCGTAATTCAATAAAGCTGAACGGAAGAAAATAAGCCGGGATAAGAACAGCACGCTCACCGTCACACTGCATACGAACGAGCCAAATGTGGGCGCTCAGCTCGCGATTAAAACAAGTAGGGTGCGAATGAAGCAGATAAACAAACAAAGTCAAATGGTAGAATCGATGTGAAAATATACAAAGGGAATGCAATGTCCAATGTCTATGTATGTGTGAGGCGGATGGTGTTGAGTGAATGAAATTCACGAAATGTGGAACCGAGATAGATTGACTGAGCTTTACAAGAAGGATTTTCACAGATCGACAAATACAGAGCGTTTTCTCATCCAACTTTTCAATACCAAACAAACCGAACGATCCTTACTTATCGTATATCTGTCTTCTACTCGGATCATGCAGGATTGCATGGGCGCGGTTAATTTCTTCGAATTTCTCCGCAACCGCGAAATCGTCTGGATTTTTGTCTGGATGATACTTCAGAGCTAGAAGACGATAGGCTCGTTTGATATCGGTCGGTGTCTTACCTTTAGTGACCTCCAGAATTCCGTACAAGTCCACATTTTTTGTGAAGGTTCCCTTCGAGCGGAGCCATCCCATCTTCTTGACGCATTCGGCACCATTGTGCTAGCAATGCCGTAGAGTACACAACACGGCGGTACTGGATATATATATATGCATATATATACTTTCGGGCATTAACCCCATCCGCATTATCTTTCCCAAAATGCTGTTTCCCCCTCTCCCCTCCTCAACTGCGTATTACACCAGAAAACAAAGTTTCGCCTTTTCGTTTTAGACTTATTTGGTTTCACCTTGCCCAAGGCATAGGGTGTACACCGACATTGGACAATCTGACTCCGGCAATGGTTAATGGGCGCCGTTTTATCCACCGTTAAGAATACATGCGTCCGCAATCCGGACGAAGTGGAGGATCACACACCCTGCCTCAACTGCACTGTGATTAAAGGTTCGGTGTCCAGCCTGTAGTTTGATCCACATCAAAGCAAACAACGCCTAAAAAACACACCTAATACAAACCATACAATCCGTTAACGGTGAAGCCCCAAAGAAACTTACTCCTTGCTCAAGAAGTCAGTCTATCTGCATCAAATCTTGAAGCAGTTTATTTATGATCCATTTTTCGTCCTACTGTATTCCGTTGCACTTCCTTTGTTCGACCGCAGCTCTTCCTCTGAAATTCTGAAGCTTTCTCGTTCACTACCCTCCTTCTATTCTCCGAACTCGTTTCCGCGCATTATCTCCCGAGCGGATATTTTCAACTCCAGTTCTGTCTTTTTTATCATATGACAATCGTTTACATTGATGTGATCTCCATAACAGATCACCCTCAATACTCCATTATATGACGTTTTCCGCCATGTGTTTCCTTTTCACTGCAATGCATCGTTACGATGTCTTCTGTACCCGTTTGAAAATTACGTTCTTACCCTTTCCGTATAATTACTTGTTGTTTGGACCGTCATTTTCTTTCATTGTTGTACATTTGATCACGCGCTCTAGCGTGCTTCACGGGTTTCGTGAAATATACCATTATTATCATTATTATTATCAATAAACTTTGAAGCTGATCACCCCACGGTTGAGTAAGCTTAGGCATCTCAGACAACACTCTTTAACAAGAGGGTGTGTGGCCAAAAAGCCAAATGGCATTTCGTACAGAGTAAGAATGGTGTTTTACCATCGGTGTTCCACATTGTTGTCGTAATCAATGGCAGCATAAAAACAGCTTTACACACGGAAGGGGTTACTTCTGTGTCATCCCCCAAAACATTACCCTAATAAGAAGTAGAAAACCGAAACAGGGAGGTTGAACTTTAGACCATGAAGCCTGCAAAGGCTAAGAGGACTGTGGTTAATCCTGAGGGACAGCCGAACTACCGGGAAATGGTGTAAGGGATTGTGCAGTTGGAGAAAGAACTTCAGTTGTTGAAAAAGAGCAGCGAAGTTTCGTTAGGAAGGAATAAGAACTTGCTCTTACATCATTGCGCGGAGCCAGCTTCAAACATCGCGGAGCCGAGGCGAGAAGCCGAACACCGCCATGTGCAAAACATTTTAAGGCTAGCAGGGTTGCCCCCGAACAACTCATACACCAAGTGTCATAGAACTGGCCTGTGGGAAGGGGAAAGCTTACGCGGTCCAAGGCCTCTTTTTAGTGGTTTTTCCAAACATAAACATAAGAGATCTACTACTGTCAACAGCTTAAAGGATCAAAGGTCTTTCTCAGGAGGTATAATAATCATCCCCGATAAACCTATCGAGGTGATACACTCAGTTTGAAGAGAAGAATTTAGGCGCTCATCCCACCGGAGACGTAGTGCTTTGCGTGCCAAGGACTGCAGAGCATTTGACTAAATCCACACCGAAGGTACCGAGGAATGTACCTGCGAAACCAAATATAGGAATGAGCTTATAAGAGAGGTTCAAAGAGGGCAACACCGCAGTCCGTAAGGCAAGGTCTAACCCGCCATGAACACAGGACAGAGCACCGCAATTAAGAAAATTATTTGCAGCTGGTAGAGCGCAGAAGGAAGCCACGGTGAGCTGTGAGGAACCAGCTACAGGGGTGAGAATAGTGGCGAAATCCCCAGTAGCTGCAACGTTCCCAGCTCGCTGATGGCAACGGAGATTAATTACTCCAAAAGTGAAGGAGGATGTACCTTCGGGAGTAGAGGAGGCTTTTGGACTGACGATAAAATTCATATCCAGGGAGAAAAGTGGAATGGATTGGGAATTAGAAGAAGCCACGACCACATCCGTAAGCCCCACCCCCAAAGAACGGGGTAACCCTTCGGGCTTTACGCTCGAGGATCCTCCAGAAATGAGCTCCCAACCCAGTAGGCATGCGCAAGCGGACACAGTCTCACTGTGGTACACCAATCCTTGCAGTATACGGGATAAGTGGTAAGAGGTGCGACGGCGCACCCTAGATATAGACATGGTGGCCATAACTGAATCCTGGATGCGGAAGCACCATATCACCCCGGGGATGGATGACTACACGATTTATAGATAAGATAGGGTAGATGGCAGGCAAGAAGGCGGGGTTGTGATAATGATAAAATCAGATCACACGCAGTGGGAGGCAGCAGCAGCCCTAGCGACTCCCAACATACAAACCATCAGTTGCGTAGTTAAAATAGATGGTAACGCATTAGCCATCATGTGCGTATACCGGACTCCACAGGCGACTGAGACAGAAGATCAGGAATTGGTTGCTCAGCT